CTCCTCTTGGATTTCTTCTTCGCCAGACTTCTCTGGAAGGGCCTGATGCGCATGACATGGGCTTTGCCGTCTAGTTTTCAACAAAAAGACACAGGAACGTATGCTTGAATAGATGAGCCAAAGGTGTACAGAGCTCTTGATGCTTCAGACCATTAGTCACTAGTCTACCTGTCAATGACCAATAACACACAAGGCCTCTTTCTCAGACATCTTCTCAGCCACAACCCCTGCATGGCCAGTGAGACCTCGAGAGGAAATGAACACCTGCCCAGAGGATTGGAGGATGCATCAAACATGAAGATTAAAAAGATCCAGACACGCATGACATGGGCTCCCACCATGAACTATCCAACCAGTGTCGAAGTCTTCACTGTATAGTATGTATAGTACATCTTGCCTCCTCAGCGCCAGCTCCAGATGTTGCTTGGCTGGTGCTTTGAGCCTCATACAGTGGGTGCCACTCTCACAATATCCATTGAACTGTGACAAGCCAGCAAGCATGCAAGCAAGCAAGCAGCCGGATATACTGTCTATATATGTATATATGTATACATATGTATAACATAAAAGTAACTATCAACATTTGATACAACACAGCGCCACAAGGCTCCTTTGTTTTTTCACTGAGCTAGCAATCCCCCTGTTTGATTACCATTAGGCTGTAGCAGCGCTCAAATCCGATTCCAAGTCAAAGCAATGTCCAGAGAGTTGTTCCATCGTGGTGATATGACATGGGTTTTGAGCATTTGCTACGCCAAAAGAAAAGCAGCTCTTGCTGGCTGCAAGCTACTTCTTTGGATTTGCAATCACTTGCTCTCGGCCACAACAAGCGCAATGAATGACCGTTTTGCATGCCTGACAAACAAGCTTGCTGCATTCCTCCGAGTCTGGTGTAGATCCTGCAGACGGGATGCTCAACATGGCCTTGCTGTGAGGCTTGTTGCCTGATGTGGGCGGATCTTCCTGAAGGTTGTCTGGGCCTGGGGAAGAGAGTACATCAAATGTTGACTCATCATCAGGCTCCGCTTCAAGATTACCACCATCTTGTGGTCCCGCTGTCGCTGAAGAGCCATCAGCTATTACCTCCTGGACCTCGGGCGATTCAAAGGCAATATGCCAAGCTCGCTTCAAGCAGCCGCTACTGGAAGTCATGCTGTGCTCTATGGAAATGGCGGGGGGGGGTCGAGAGTAGATTGCACCTTGGGCCCAAATGGCTTGAGGGTGACAACGGTGAATCGACAAGGTTTATTGTTTGCAAAAAGTTCCCACTGCCAAACCTTATATATCCCACCTCTTCAGTCGTCTTTTGCGCTTGAGGCACTCCCTGCACACATGGGACCCATATCATCTGGACAGGCCGCAAAAGCGAATTGGTATCCACAAGAAAACCTTGCCTCCAGTCTGTTTATTTGTCAGTTCATGTAAATAGCAACGTATAAGAACTACAATGACTTCTATAATATCTGAATCTTGAACCTTGAGCATTTGCTTTCACGTGCCTTCTGATCATCTCCAGAAGTCTGGCTGCTTGGTAGGTCCTTCAAGCAGCGCTGATGACATGGGTTCTGTACCTTGTTTCTTCCAATCTCGACTGTCAGCTCCTCTGGATTGAGGAGATTCTCAACCATTTTCCCAAGCTCAGCCTGCAACATTATTGTAATTGAAAATGATTGAGCCACCCTCAAGCCTTGTGCCTCCAAAGAAAGATCTTCCCCACGTCTTTCTGGATGCGTTAAGGCATTGCTGGGACTTTTCACCGGTATCCTGTAGCGCTTTGCACCAGGTGTTCCTGGATCGGAAGACGCTCTCTTCATATTATCTGAATTTTTCTGGTTTGAGCCATACAGCTGCTGTGCGCGTGCACCTGACAAAGGCTTTGCTAGCTTAATTTGCATTACTGAGTGCCCCAATGTTCAAGCCCAAAACATGAGCAAAACGCACATGACTTGGGTTCCCTATATGCTATATTAACTACATGACATAGGCTTTTTTAAAAACGATGAGCCTCAGACTTAGGCTGTGATTTTTGGGCTCAGTCATTTCTGTCTGCCTAAGTCATTTGCAGGTAGTATATTGTCATCATTGCTTAAATCCATTCTCAACGGAAAAGGCCTATAATAAGCATTTGGAAAAAGGTTGTATGGCATCAGAAAGACAGCAAACCAAAATGCCTGATAAAGGTAGTAAGCAAAGGGCAAAGAAACAATATGTTGCATCTAAGTCCTTTCGAAGTTGAATATGAAGACATCCAAATATACAACCATGCAATCGCCCCAGCCGTGCTGAAACAAACCGTGATAAGGCAAAGGATGTCAGAAAGAAGGCTGAACAAGCCACGTGTATTTTAACCTAACACTAGTAAGAGGAACTTCCAAAAGGAACAAAGGCATAAACTGTTGCAGTGGCTCTTGCACATAACAATGCTTTTGACGCTCCAGTGGGAGAATTGATGGAGCACAAGCCTACTTTTATTCACAAGACCTATCAACACCGTTTTTAGCACACGAACCGTGCAAAGCAACACATGAAAGGAACTAGGGATGACAAGGCTGCTTGTTCAACACTTGCTGTACCACTCAAAAGGCGAGATGTTGAGGTGGGAACAGTCAAAAGGACATAGCAAAGGAACAAGGGCATGGCAGTAAATCATACAAAGTCTTTAGTCTAAATCCTCTCTATCAAATTGAGGACGATGCTTGGAATACATCTTTTAACAAATCTTGAGGAATGAACAACCCTGCGATCTTCTCCCCAAAAAGTGCTGAGCCGTGTCAAGAACATGAAATGACAGGGTATCATTTTCAAGAGCGGCCTTACACATAATCACATGTTTGGCTTGGGGCATGGCTTTTCGTCAATAAGTTCTTCCTACACCCGACAAAAGGGCACGGCAAAGGAACAAGGGTATGCCAGAAAATCGCACAAACGTCTGTAGTCTAAATCATCTCTATCAATTTAAGGCAAATGTTGGGAAGATATCATCAACAAATCTTGAGGAATGAACAACCCTGTTATCTTCTCCCTAAAAGACTGAACCGCAGCAAGAACATACAATGTCAAGGTAATGTCTTGCGTAGCGGACTTTCCCACAATTGGCATCGTGTGAACACCCTCAGCCTATATTGTTGTGAACAAAAGCTCAATCAAACCAATTCCATCCTTCTTTTTCACTTGCAGAAATTTTGAACTTCAGGTGGGGAGCGTTCAGAATTGATTGTCCTAAACCGAGAACGAGCGTTTACCACAGAAATTCTAAAGATGGGTTGTGTACCTTTTTGTGTGCAACTGTTGTCAGTCCTTTTGCACTTGCCTCACCCAAACAGCTTTGGTCTGAGTTGGTGAGGATGCACCTTGCAGGCCACGAAGATGACAAGGTGGGTCTACTTTGCAAGGTCTTACTTGAGAACTCCGACTTCAAAAAAAATTAACTACTGTACATCAATGAAATCTGCAAATCTACAACAAACGAAGCACCATCATCATTTTGAAATGCTCCTTGAATGCGTAGGAAGGTGTAGACACATACTATGTGAAGAAGAGAAGAACTATGCCGCTTTGCTAGTTAATTCATTGGTACAGTAAAAACCGATTACTCCCTACAGGTTCCGACGTCCTTTAGAGCACAAACCAATAGTAGGTTTGAATAAAATCCGGCCTGGCTGAATGGACTTGAACTTCTGGGCAGAACTGATCTCAAAGAAGGGTTCGTCATCCTTCAACGAGAAGCTCCTTGCAACTCCATCGCAAGGGATCTAGAAGCCCAAAACTTCCTGACCTTGCCGCTTGATGTAAACATGGTAGCCAGTGTGCGCTGAATTGGCTGCAAGTCCAACAATCTCTATACCACCCCGCGTGTCTTGCACAAGTTGTCTGATTTCTGTGTCCTGCCTTCCAATGATCAGCAAGCACTTGTGCTCCGCTTTTGTATAGTTTGGAAGCTCGTCAAAGTGATTTCGATGTTCTTCAATCGCAGCTCATCCGCGAGCAGCCATGACCGCTTCAATGGTGAAAGCTGAACCGTCCTGCATTGTACAATAGATGTCAACCTTCCCCTGAGTTGGGCTCTCCAAACTACTTATGGTTCGAAATCCCAAGTGCTTCAAGACGCGAATTAAAGCAGAGGTGTAATGAACCTCAATTGGGAGCTCTTCTCTCAAAACATCAGAAAGAGCCTGGCCGTTCTCTGCCCTGCTGATGGCCACCACGTCTGCAAGAAGCAAGTAGGGCAGCGCTCGCAAAAGAAAATCTGTGCAACTAGCTGGGTTTGTGTCTATCTCCACTGTCAGCTGCCGCTTTTTTGCAAGCGCTTGGCGGTAATAGGAAGCCATCAGGTAATTGGCGACACCATACTTTGCCCCCACCTTTGCCCAGTCCAGTTCCCGAAACTTTTTGTCTTGCAGAGTAGGAAGTACGAAACCATGAATTGTGAGCTTGCGGCGGACAGGTATGTCGATATCATCAGTTGGACCCTCGCACAAGATTTTCAAAAATTGTTCTGGTATGTTCTCCAAGCGTGCAAAATGCCCATTCACACGAATGGCTCGAATAGTCTGAAGTTCCCCCATCAAGCTATCATCTGGGGCGTGAATCCAATTCTCTGTGTCCCATGCTTGGCTAGCCTTGCCAAGGGCGCGAGTCAAATTCCATGGAGTGCTGTTCCTCTGCTCTGCGCTCTGCTTCTTCTGCACCCATTCCATGCTTCTTATGAAGAGACCTCTGTGTCCACAACAAAAGGTCAGAAAGAACTCAAATCGCATCTTGAGACAAATAGACATCGGCCTCAGCAGGTTGATCAACGAGCACTTTGGCATCTGGCATTGGAGGCGTCCACATGAACTTTGCAGTAATTTCCGCAGGTGTTTGTGAGATAGCTCCATGCATGTCCACAGCTTCAGATGCAGCTGATAGCAACAACATCATGGGAGGCTGCTGTAGGTTTCCAGGTGTCAAGAACATGTTTAAGAAGTCCGGACAACTGAAGAGCAAGTCTCACTCATCAAAGACCAGCACCCGATCATTGTCATGTACATATTTGACTGCATCTTCGATGCTTCGTTTCGCTACATCAGGAGCGGCAGGCTCGTTCTCCAAAGCTGCCCTGAACTTTCTCCGCCAGTGCTGAGAGGTTGCATTCCCAGGGGCAACGACTTGCAAATACTTGGATGGTTGTACTGTACAGAGATATTTTGCTAACGTAGACTTGCCGCTAGCCACACCAGCACGAATGAAAACAACCCTCATCTTTTTGCAACAGAGCTTCAAGCTGTTGAACCGTTTCGTCCAAAGGGATGAAGACATCGGTGGCAGGGTCAGCGAGTTTCAGTGCTTCTGGAATCTCACGTTTGCCACTTCTCACCCTCTTTATCTCCATTGCCGTGTATTTCACCAGCCGCTCCACAAGGTCTGCTTTTCGCCCTGACACCTTCAAACCCTTCTCGCGCAGCTTTGTCTTCAGTTTTCTCACTGCCAACTTCTCTAGGCTTGCTCTAGTAGTTTCTCTGCCTGAACCTGGTACTGCTAGAGTTTGCGAGCCGTTGATTGGCAGGTGCAAGAAGCACAGCACGACAATCGCAATAGCAACTAACAATTTGAAGCGTGATTGACCAACTCGTTGGCGGGCCATGGCTTCGAAAAGGAATGTTCCTACCCTTAAACTTTTCTAGGACAGAGGTGACAAAAACATGGTTGACACTCAATGTATCAACTCTCCTGAGCTTGAAAGGGAGGTGCAAGGTAAGCCTAATCTGCACTTTGAGGTTCACAAAGAGCTAACTTCGCTAAGGCCTCCACACAGCATCCTGGAAGAAATGGGAATTGGCAGCATCGTGGCCTCAACTGATTCAAACGTCACAGCAAAGTTCAATGCGCGAAGGACCACACGTTCTTGAGAGCAGAAATTGGACTCTCAAATGCACGAGCAACTTTAGCACTGATTGGCTATTCTGCCGGTACTGTGTCACACGTCTTCAGCTCCTCAGGCTGAAGCCGTTCACAGCGAGGAAGTGGCGCAACGTTGCACTTTGCACACCTTGTCCATGTGAGTCCTCATATTATCAACATCACGCGCGTGCAACATTAAGAAACAAAGCACAGGCTCCAGAGAAGCTACAGATTTGCCAGGAACCTTTGGTTTTGCACTGTTTTCTTACAGAAGCCTCTCCAAAACCTATCTACTTTTGTAGGAACAAAACAAATCGACACCCCTGCGTTTTGCACTCCTGTCCTAGAAAAACACTCCAAAACCTAGGCGATACTGTGGCAGGAAAGGCCTGGAAAGGAAACAATGTTTTTAGGCAACATGCTGCTGATGTCGCGTAGGTATGTCGTACTTTGTGCACTTAACGACCGTAAAATCTAGGTAAGAATGCAGTCCTGATGAGAAACATCCGTATCCAGGTATAGTATTTATAAATATATATACTTGCTTTTCTCTAACTAGCATAGTCTCCATTTGAAGGTTTCCTCTTGTGCATAAATACCTCATTTGACTCATTTGCTCAACAACCTTCATCCTCTGTCAAGTTGTTCTTCTTAATCCTTATTTTTTGTCAATGGTTTTTCTTTTCACAAACGGTTGTCATCCTTGGTTGAACCCCCCCAATTGATGGAACTGTCTCCCTCATCAAAAGCCTCCCTTTATTGTAGCTATAGCATCATGATTCGACAAAAGTGTTTCCTTTCCCCAGTGTCTTCTCTTCTGTGATGCCCAAAACATGTTGCGTTTGACCTACTTCTCTGAACCTTTTTCGATTTTTGCAAAATGTGTGCTCTCTCTCTCTCTCTCGCTCTCTTGCAACCCGCTGTTTTGTTTCTATCACATATATAAATCAAGCATTGGTCCGACTTGGTCCTTGTCGAAACAAAGCCTTTCAATCAGACCAAGCCTCACAGAATCTCAAGCTGAGTGCCAAGTGCGATTTTCCGGCTCGGTATTGAGAAGCTGGCAAGTCTCGAATCTCCGCGCACTTCCTGCAAATTAAACTGCCTTGGTCGTATACAGACTTTACTTCTCAGACTCTTCACTGCATACACCCCATGCGAGATGGCAAAGTAAGTTCCACTCTTGACGCCGGTTTCATGCGTCGCTTCAGGATATCCACCTGATGCAAGTGATAAACCTCAACTCAATCCAGTAAGCGTGCTATGCTGATCATGTACAATGAGTCACCTCCCACTCAAAGTCCCAGCAACTTGGTTTGTCGATGCCGCATCTGGGACAAACTGCCTGACAGGATGTCCAGAGAGAATCCTTCGTGAAGCACCCATCCCCCCTTGAGGTCCAGACAACTGTTTTCTTGCTGCGATCTTGCAACAATCTGCTCAAGCCTTCATTGGCATAAAGTTGTTCAAGCACCTGCAAAGAATAGGAAAGGACATTCTGCAAACATACAGTTCTGCAAACGCGGCTGGTCAGGTCCATCGCTCACAATGGATTACGAGAACTGACAAAATAGTTATCTATCTATGTTTGAAAAAGCAACCGAAAGCAAGGGCAAGGAGGCCCAATGCAAGTAAGCTGAAATTGTATATACATGAGTTCCACCTTTTGCGTGTGGGTTGGTGCAACCACAGCAGTATTTGGAGCCAATTTCGGAGCCAGCCTCAAACGACACCGATTTTTAGACGAGTGTGCTACACGTTGGCACACACTGCAAAGCGACCAAAACACCAAGGAGGGAGCATCTGCAAACCAAGTTCAAGCTGGCTTAGCCTGCATCACAAAAGCAAAGTTGCGCAATAAAAGGTCCCATCGTCAATGCTTCAATCTTGCATTACTTCTGAGCCAGGCTCCCTCCCAAACTGTGAACACGTTCTACCATTGTCCAATAGCCGCGAGAAATCTAATCTAGGTGTCTAGGTGGCCGTGCTTGTCAAACAATCAGTCGAATATTGCACATGCATCACTTGAACATTTCTGCAATAGAAACATCAAGTGTCCAACATTGAAAAATAGAATTCGGTCGGTTGAAGAATACGCATTGGTTCATATGCGTGTTCATGCGAGCAAGAACGGAGACCTGGGATGGTTGCGGAAATATCTGCGAAAACATTCACTGATCGACTCATATTACAACTTTGGCCAAAAGTTGATAATCAAGTAGATGGCAAACCTTCACATCAACACCACGTTCTTCCGCTTGATCAATTTCAACTGTTCTGTGCTGCAGTACCAGTTTTAATGACAGTTTGTTCAATGTACATGTAGAAACAGTCCTATGAAGATGATGCCTATCGCCCAAACAAACAAACAATTGCACCCGAACGCTACGGTCATTGTGGCGCATATTTCAGGTCCCCTTGTGGTTCAGGAGCAATGCCTGCGTCAACCAACCGAATTCTGTGCACGCACTATGTCCTATTGCTGCAGTCGGAGTTAGACGCGTGGGTCAGTGAGTGCAATTTGTGTGAACACGTCAATGTATACATATGTTTCTTTTGAAAGTTACACCAGCATAGACCCAGATAGCTAGGCAGAATCCCACGACCTGTTGACATGCGACTGGCTGGAACAACAATGTGCGCAGCCTGCCTGCACAGCCAGCTTACGGCACCTCCACAGCGCGCAAACCAGCTGACACCAGCACCTGTGCGCTTTGCCAGCTGACAACACCGGCAGCGGCGCCAGCACCCGACCAGCGCCGCCGCCCCTCTTAAACGCGCGCTCAGCCAGCTCACAGCACCAGCGCCGACGTTTTTTTTTGCACGGGTGGAGGCGCTGTGTGTGCCGAGAGGCACAAGTCACCTTGATTGAATTAAATAGGAGTACTAAGGAGATACGAGCCAGATACCAAAACCAAAAGGCACAAACAACAAGCCCAAAAAAAACACAAACACACCCAAACACCCAAACCGAACAAACCGGGCTCGTATCTCATAAGGGCTGTCAGAGCCGAAGCGACTGTTTTGAGAGTGAAATGAAACGGGGCATTGAATTCATTCTTCTGTCTGCGCTCAGTACGTGAGGATCAGGAGGTAGCGAACTTGCTTTTTGCGGGCAGTGAGTACCTGTGTAGCATCAAGGGTGTTCAAACGTGTGCAGGAGTGAGGAACATTGTGATCAGAGTCTCTGTGTCAAGGCGAGTCATGACTTATATCCAAGAGCACGACTTTGCCTCAGGCAGATTCAGTGTGTTCCAAGTTGGCCTCGTCAATCTGGCACTTGACGGCACCATTTTTTTCCACGAGTGCGGACGCCATGTGGGCGGTGTGCCCAGGTCATCGTAGAAGGAAAGGAAACACTACATAATGATGGGAAAAGGGCACAAGACCACAACCAAAAACCAAAACCAGAACCCCAAAACGCAACCCAGAACCCAAAAGAAACCACCGCCAACAACCCATCAAAACCGGTAGTGTTTCCTCTGTACGGATGTGAGACGGGTGAGAAGAGAGTCTGCAAAATTCCTAAGGGCCTGAATTCGCAACGAAAGGCAAAATGCATTTGATCATGGATGTTTGCTTGGGGCGGCCAGTCAAATGTGGCCTTTTGCTGTTGGCAGGGGTGAAACCCTAGCCACTTTGGTGCTTGGCACTCGGAGTATTTCAACTATCTACGAAGTGCCAAGAACAGGTCAGCAGCGACAAAGACTCTTGCCAAGGAGTCAGAAGTTGCAAGGCATGGCAAGCCGTGGAAAATTCCCTCTTCGTAGCACAACCTATACAACTGATTGCGCGTCCGAAGTGCAGAGGCTAATCGTGAGTGTGGCAGTGGAAGGCATTGCAACGACCGGACTGCTGACGAAGTGTTGAGTTCCCTCCCGCAAGGGAGGTATCACCTACACCCCCTGGCTCCTTCTCGCGTGCCAAAAGGGGTAGCTTGTTCATCAGATAGTGTGCGTGGAGACACTATCTTACTGCACGCATGGCCCATGTGAAACAGGTGAGACAGAAGACCTATCCTAGCATGGTACTTATGCCATCTTTGTACAAGATTGGCTATGGTTTGGCTGCCGCAGATGAGCAACTAAGGTTCTCCCTGGGCGCCTTCCGTCAACCACTCTGCTACAACCCGCCTACCAGGGACGAGGAGCTAAGGCTCTCATCCCGGTGGGCTCACAAAATTGCAGGTGATGAGGACGAAGTAGTGACTCTGCTTGGTCATCGAAAGGCAGGAGAAGAACTCTGAGCGCAGACTCAGTGTGACTAAGCAAGAGTTGTCCCTAGCGCACTGCTTCTGTGAAGTCTTCCCTCCACTTGTCTTTGTCATTTGGCGGCAGGAAGCGAAGCCACTTAGGCTTGTCGAGGTGCTCGCATTTGTCAAAAGCATTGACACGGGCGTACGTCCCCCTCCAAGTCGTGCTTTTCCGAGTTTTGCAGAATGTGCGAAGCTGTGTGCAACCAGCAAAGGCACGCCTCGCTATGTATAGTAGTGTTGGTGGAATGCAGACCTCTCGTAATGAGGAACACCGGAGGAATGCTTCTTGCTCTATTCTTCGCAAATTTCGAGAAAGTCTGAGCTGTTGCAATTGCGGGCAGTGCGCAAAGGTGGAGCCCAATATTTCTAGAATGTCCGTTCGGGACAGGTCAACGATCTGAAGCTGTTGACAACGTTCACAGGCGGCTGGCCCGACCCAAATTAAAATCTGGCGGCAGAGAGATCGAGACGATGCCTGCTTCCAAGAA